ACCCGGCGTGCTCCGTCCCGGCTTTGTAGGGATGCGAGGTCAATGGTCTAACGACTACGGCATGCACGACTATGAGTACACCCCCCCCCCTCCCATAAGAGAGAGGTATGCATAACGCGGGTACAATCGAGAGGCCTTCTGCAGTATGTAACAGGGAACGTTCTGCAAGTAGCAAGTGGAGTTGTGAGGCGTGTACTCTTCGCGGATTTGTTGTCACCTCCATCTCGCTTCTGTGGGAACCGTGCTGCCGCTACTGCTACGGTTGCGGCCTCAACGGCTAGGGGTGCGCAACACTCTGGAGAGAGACAGCAGTGCGCCGTGCCCGGCCTATTGGAGACTTTCAATACCACGACCTCTCCACCGGTCGATTCGTTCTGTACAATGGTTAGGGCCATGTGTTGAAGCATTCGGAGTCGTCGCTGCAACCTCCCTCGTTTCGAAATTCGTTCGCTTCCGTGGTCAATAATACGCGAACCATATGCATACGTGCTGATCGATCGTTGTTTTTAATTTTTGGCGATGTCGTTGTCGTGGCTGGTTTGTCTTTTATGCTGTGCCCCTTCGTCTTCAGCCTCGGACATCGTGTACGAGTGCCCCAATGCGGACGCTTGTGTTGGCGGAGCCACAGCCGAGACGTACTGCAGCGACGGCTTCAAGGGGCCACGTGAGTACTCATTCATGCACCCAAGTAACAACAGGTCACAACCACCGGGCCCCCTCAGACCCGCATGTCAGTCACGAGTCTCAACTGCGCTGCAAGTGTGGCTAGTCGGTAGATCTCGGTCTGCGAACGGTGCTTTCAAGGCACCACACTCAATGGATATGCCCGAACCTCGTTCAGGGAGAATGGCGTTGGGCGCTAACGGGCGGGCAAAGCTCGACATCGCTGCTACGCTCGAGTTCGCCGCACCTGCACCCAAATTCTTAAGACTATAGTGTAGTCTCAATCAACACACCCAACACTGTTCCCTCGTTTCCCCCCGCTCGCACCCGGCGTTCCACCTCCTGTGGGTGGTTGGTTGTGTGTGCGTACACCGTTCTCTTCTTTTCTTTGTTTTGTTGTGTTTCTGATTGTAACCTTATTTTATCCTGTCCGTTCTAGTGCACCCGGTGGGCGCTGAAGATTGTGTCGGGCGTTTGGTGCGCTCAGTCTTCTTCTTGCCACGGCGTTGCTGGTAGTCGTTGTATTGGTGCCATGTCCTCCCCAATAGACGGACCTGTCTCTTGAATCATCGAAAGGCAGGGCCCGCCCGGAGTGGTTCGACGGGTCGTGCTGCCGCGAGACCGCTACTGCTGTACAGAAAATGAAACGTCGTCCCGACCGAGCCCCCGGTGTGTCGATTCATTCGCCCGCCCTGCTTTCCCGCATCCGCCGCCGTTCGTCCTGCTGTATGTATCGTGTCTGCTTGTTGTGGCTACGCATGGACGCTACCAACACGACCCAACAACAACAACGTTCGGATCGACGTCGACAGTGTGTGCCGTCTGCGAGAACGACTACTACCCCAGCGGCAGCTACGAGTGCCTGGAGTGCTCCGGGGGCAACGCTGCATCCTCCATCATCACCATCATGTGAGACACCCAGCAGCTGCTGTCGTCAGCATGGGAGCCATCTGCGCATCAAGCGTGGTGGCTTTCGCCCGTGACGCCCCCGCCCCCGCCCCCACCCCCCATAGATAGCATAGGGAAAAGTGTTTTTGATTCCTCACCTAGCGCGCAACTAAGAGCTTGCCATCTCATCTCCTGTAGTTGCGTACGCCTTTTGGGCTGGCAGAATTTGGCCTGAAACTCGGCTGATCCGTCCACATGCGTAGGAGAGACAGATTTCGAAGCGGCCACGCAGAAAGCCAGCGTAGAGTATATACACGGAAGCTCTCTTCTCAGTTCCACCGCGTACATTGCGACTTCTCCGGAGGCATTTCGGTTATCTGAGCGGAAGCAGAGGAGCACAGGATGCGTGCTACAGATAGTTGACACACGCTCGCCGCCCTGCTGTTTGCCCTTGACTTGATCGGTTTGCTGTGTCTTTTTTTAATGCATATGTATCCCGGTGGCATGTACCCACGTACATCATGTGTGTTGTGTGTGTGAAAAAAACGACAGCCTCTTCCTTGCGGCGCTAGCGGTGTTCCTAGTGGTGCTGTCCAAGGCTTCGTCGACATTAGAGGAGCAGGCGAGGGAGCACGATGACGATGCCAACGACGCCGCGGCGAGCAACGTCATGGCCGTGGGAACCAACTCCAAGTGAGCGAGGGCGGGGGGCACCTAGGAAGGGGGAGGGGCGGGCGTCTACGCTTCAACGGGAGGAATCGGGTTCGATTGGGTTGGTCTCACTTGTGTAGATGAGAGGGATGAGTATTTGAGCCTACAGTGCGTGTGACGTGTATGTAGAACGGGTGACGTTGCTCCCACATCGCAGAGGAGGTCTCACGTTACGCACGCACGGCCACCGCTTCCACGGCCACCGCCGCCGCCATGATGTCGGCCGACGACGGCATCGATGTCGGCCGAGGACGGCGGCGGCAGCGAGTGAGTTTTGCCGGGTGTGTTTCATGCCCAGGGGTGCGTCACCGGTAGGGGTACGGAGGACAAGCTAGCTCACACAGGGTAGCGAATCGTGCATGGCGTCCTACCTTGCTGTCTACCCAACCGCAGAGTTTCCATGGCGGAAGCCTGGTCGTTCCTTGCTGTCTACCCAACCGCTGAGCTTCCATGGTGAAGCGAGCCTGCCTCGGGTTAAGTTTGGCGGGGTGTGGGCAGGAGGGAACGTGAGGAGGTCTAATTCGTGCTGCTGCTCGCTTCGCTATGCACGTGTCTGCGTCATAATATTGATCATGCTTAAGGGTGTTCAAGTTCGTCAAGCAGTGGAAGGACACCCTGGTGGTACGGTTCAAAATCCTGGTAACGCACTTCCAGATCGTCACCACCTTTCCCGTCGTGCTCGACGTGCAGTGGCCGGAGGCCTTCAACCGGTGTGTGTGCTGCGCTTGTGTGTGTGTGTGTTTTTTTTTGTTTCTGTTGCAGCACCTGGGAGACCGTCATGCTGGGTTTACTGGTGCTTGTGTGTGTTTGTTTTTGTTTCTGTTGCAGTACCTGGAGACCGTCAATCGATGTGTGCTGGTGTGTGCGTGTTTACATGTTCTGTTGTTGCTAGCACCAACCGCGACGCCAGTGTCAAAGACGTCAGTTCCAATGCGGCTAAGCATGGAAAACGCTTCAAAACACCATGATCTGGGACCCCGTGAGGGGGCGACTTTGGGTTGGCGTGTGCGTTTGTGGGCAAGCGCCTGTGATTTCCCGGTGTGGGGAAGAGAGCCCGTCCCCACGCCGGGGCGGCCTTGGCGTCTTCCTGTTTCCTGTTTCGTTTCTTGTGCTACAGCATGGTGATAGAGCGTTTGGAGGATTGTTTCTCTGGGTGCATTTTTTTAATTTTTCGTCCGAGAAAGGTGTTCGTGAGTCACGTCGCATCGTTTTCCGTTTGATGAGGCTCGAAGCGTCTGACGTGCACCTCAAGTTGTGTTCACACTGCTATTTCATATCCCCGCCCCACTAAGTCATACGCAGCTGTCATCCGTACGCAAGGAAGAAAGCACAAGATGCCGAACACCCTTAGCAGGATGCAGCGTGCACGCTTCATGCGACTCGCCGAATTTCTCACGGCGCTTCGCGCTTGGTGATGTGAGAGCCTGGTCCGGTGAGAACCCGGCGTGCTCCGTCCCGGCTTTGTAGGGATGCGAGGTCAATGGTCTAACGACTA